GAATGTATTGGCAGTCATACCTGCAGAGAACACTTTGTCCTAGAAGGGATGGGCAGGGAAAGGACGGTGAAGCTCTCAGGTCTGGCAGTGGTGGTCTTGCATCTCAGACATGTGATATTGTAACTGAGCTGTCCCTCAAATAAGTCTGTTATAATAGATGTGTCACTGACATTCCCTCTTGCTTCTGCACCCGTTTTGTTTCTTCTTTGGCTTGACTATGTTAACAAAATACAGATAAGCAACTGTTTGAGAAGTGCCTCCACTGGGTTTTAATGGTTGCTGCCCACAGCCTGGGTGGGTTAATAGTTTTGCCACACAACTTGGCTCTAAAATGCTATTACTTTACTTGATACTTCATACATGTTAAGTAAGCTTAATTTCTTTTCTGACAGAAATTAAAATATAATAATCTAGACATTTGACATGACTTAATTGCTCCAGAAGCTCTTTATCAGTGGATCTGAAGAGGAGAAAGACCAGCCAGGGGCATGGCAGACATGAAGATTTCAGGCAGATGAGAAAGTAGAGGAACAATAAAGTGTGGAAGGAGCAAGGAGAGGGAGAGTTTAGGACAATGAAGCTACAGACAGCATTGTCATTTATACAGGGGCTGCAATTTGATGTCACATGAGACAATACACAAATCTATGGATGTGAAACAAAGGTAGAAAAGGACAATTTTTAGCAGCCCCATCATGGAGTTCAGAAGAGGGGGACAGCCAATTATTACACAGAATGCTGCATGGTGAAATACAGAGGAAACAGCTTATCTCCAAAACACCACAGCTGGGCTCTTACCTCCTTGAAATCCTTGTGGAGCTCATCCAGCACACAGATCAGAAACTCCTGTGCATCATGCTGAGTACTCGTGCAAAAACTTGGGTGTCGCCTCACAAAGACCGAGTGAAAAGCCTCCGGGGAAATCATGTCACGCTTTCCAAGTCGCATCTCAGACATCAAGTGGCCAAAGACTGTTGCAAACTCATCATTCCCCCTAGGAAAAAATATACATAAATTACAGATAAAGTACGAAAAAATCGTGTCTCTACCTTCAAATGGGAGCACAATGAAGAAACTTAGAAAACATATGCAGGCACAGTACAGCTAAGATTCTGTCCCATCTGGTTTGAGGGCAGATCCCAGAAAGTGGTAGGAATTGTCACTGAGGCAGCAGTGACAGTAATGTGCATAACCATCAAAATGACAAAAAAGTATAATGCTGAATATACTCAGCAAGGAAACGGCCTAGAGCCTCAAAGAAGGAAACCAATTTGTGTCCAGTCTGACTGTACCTGCTGGGGGGAGGCTGGTAAGTGGCTGTGTCCATGGCAACGTGTATGGTTTGGAAGGAAAATGGCAACGCCGAGCAGAAAAAAATCTGAGTATTGTGAACAAATCAACTTACTTTTGTAGAGCTGTGCTGCCCTTCCCTGAGAGGAAGAGCTCCATGAAGGGTGGCAGACTGCTGAGGCACTGCAGAACCGCGTTCATGTAGCAGGTGTTACTCAGATTCTGCAGCCCAGTGAGCCCAGGGTGATGCATGTTTGTCTTCTCCATCTCTTTCTTGCAGCAATGCCTCAGTTTATTTCCAAGCCATCTTTCCACCTACTGGGTAAAGCATCACAAAAGTGGACATCTAAAATGCTACAGTGCTTTTTGTAGTATACTGCCCTCAGGAGGTGTTTCCTGCTGTTTCAGGGTCTTCTTTATAAATGATATTCACTTACTTTCGTCATGCTAATACAGCGGTGAAGTCTTTCCATCTTCCATAGTAACCTCTTCCCTACAGTGAGATACGTCATTATGAGATGTTATTTAAATACCTGAGGTTTTAGAACTATTGCTAAAATTCCATTCAGTCTTTAATTCCATACACAATTACTCAAAAGATATAACCACTTATAAAGAGCTATCTCAAGCATTTCTCCCTAAAGAATGCATAGATTTCATTTCCTTGGGGGCATGGTACTTACTTACTTACTAAGACTATAGGTTGAAGTCCAGATGCTACTATGAACAGGTTATTCTTTAGATATTTACTATAAAATGTTACTTAATTCATGTGAAGAATGAATTCAGTAGCAAATTAATAGTAGGTTAATTTTCTTACTGCACGTGTATGTCCTGGTCCAGACTGTCCCCATCCCCAGTCAGCAGAGAGACTGAACATAGACACTACACCACCCAGACATGCTCACCAATGATGGTGTTCCTGAGTTTTTAGACTGATTTTCTACCCTCAGGCAGGGCAGATAACTCTGAAACAGCAGCAGTGTCTGTGAAACAAGAAGAGAAGATTCCCATGTGTTCCATCCCCATTCACTTTGTGATGTCACTGAGTTACTCTGGTTGCTAGGCAGTGGAATGTGCCTGGCCCAACCTGCCTCCATCTCCTTCCTGTGTGTCACAGAACAGAAAACCTTGAGAAGAGAGAGGCACCCACCCATTCCACTGAGCCCTGAGCTTCAGCCTGGCCCACCTTTATCCATGTTTGCTTGGACTTGTGTTGGAGTTTCTTACTGCCATGCTCTCGTGGAAAGGCAGTGAGGATTGAGGGTGTTAACCATAGAAAGATGGACCTACCTCAAAATATCACACACACCTGAAGGGCAGCAGGTTTTCCCTCCTTACCATACAATCTGGGTAGTAACAAGTATCCACAGAAGAGGCCTAGGAAGCCATTTTAAAATAAAACCTCATTATCTTACTTGTTAAACTTCAAGCAAAGGATGTCTCCTAGTCCTCTTGGGACACAGCTGACACTGGTATTCATCTCCCAAACTGTGTTTCTGCAAACTGAGATGCAAAAGCAACACACACACACCTACTCAAAATCTGTTCTACATTTTTGGAAATGGAACCAAATATGCTTATTCCTACTTGTTGTAGAATCTGAATCAAGACCTTGAGTTACTATATTTATGTAACACAATACACAAATCCACATGACAGCGTGGGTCAGGGTGGAAGGAACCACAGTGGAGCACCTGGTCCAAAGCTCCTTGGCTCAAGCAGGGCCATCCCAGGTCACATGGCACAGGGTAAAGCACATCAGTGCTGCCTCCTGCAAGCTCTGGGGCTGACGATTGCCTTGCCATTACTCTCCCCACAAAATGGATCATTTGCAAGCCAAAGTGCTAATTGGGAAAAGATTAAATCATCAGAAATATTTTGGAAGCATTGTTACATGTGAAAAAAAATATTACCAAGTTATCAGCTGTAGCCTCTTCTCTCCAAATTCCTGCAGTGTTAAATGTTATGGCAATAAGTGAGATGTAACCACAAAGAATTAAAGGGTAGGAAGTCACTGTCACAAGCTTAAAACCCAAAGCCCACATGACTGCTGAGCAGCTCCCCAGGAGTTATTTTGCCACAACATATTTGGGATTGGTTTTCTGCAAAGAGTTTCAGCACCTAAATACTGCAAGAAAGCAATCAATAGTGCTGAATTTGGCAGAGTAAAAGTAAAATTTAAATTATGTAGCTTACCAATTTCCCTATATGAGAAATATTCTTTAAATACCTTCTTAGTAGGAAAGTCACTGAAACATTTCAAGATTTTTGCTAAAAAAATAATTAGAGATAGTTTGAATTATATTCCTGTATTTAATAACTAGTTTCTAAGAAGATACTCCAGTACTTTATTTTTTGGATAGTTATCAGAAGTTCCAGTGCTGCTTGTGCTTTCCTCCTCACAACTCCTCTCCATTCATAGAGCACTCCAAGACTGATGAGGTTTCAGCAGAGAAATGACAGTTTATGTTCTCAAACAAATTAAATCTTTGTGTTCCTGCAGCCCAGCACCAGCAGGACATGGCATTATGCAAACACAGTCAGGCTACTTCAAATCAATTTGTTGGGTTTTTTTTCTTTGCCACCACAATGCTTTCCCCAAAGGATAACTCACATTTATGATTTTTTTTCTGCCAGTGTGGAGCAGATCACTTGTGAAAGTAAAACATTTCACCCCCCTCAATTTAGACATACAGCTAGACTTACATGAAAAGTGTAAGTCACACAGAGGGGCTAGTGCTCACACCAGGGAGACGTACAGAAAGATGAACTGTGTTAACCACTCCAAGTCTTACAGATATTTCCCAATCATGTTTGTCCCTTCTGATCTTGGAAAATCTTCAGGCCTGAGTCACTGCAAGACTGAGCAGTCACTCACACCCATCACACACAAGTCACATCTGTTTATTTTGCTAAGAAATGAGTCACACACAAAACCACTGAAGAGTAGTGACATGGTTGTAAAAATTAAATGTGCACTGTTAAGTGTTTGTCAGGAAACAAAGTGTCCTAACTTTTACTTACAGTTTTCTCAAAATGCTTTTCCTATTTCATACACTGAATTTGCTCACATTTTCACACCACCTGAGCTTTCTCTAGAAATCTCTCTCAATTTGCAGAGCCAATCACACTCTCAGACTAACCATTGCTGTTACTTTGCTCAGACTAGAGCATTACAGAGGTGTAAGTACATCTTGACTATGTGCCCATTCCCTCCCAGCAACAGGAGGAGATGCAGTCAGGCATCTCAGAATCAGCTCCTAATTAAAATCAAACATTGCAAAGAGCTATTTTTGTCTCATTTACTCATTCATCTCCTCACATATGTTCCCTCTACTGTGAGAGTTTTCACTTTTTTACCTCCCTAGTTTCTGGTATTGGACAAAGTTGCAATACCTCACAGGTAGACAACTGTTTTGAATCCAATACAGCAAATTCTACTTTTCCATACGAAATGTTACTTAAATTCATCCAAACAACCTTTCAGACTGAGACAAAGAGCAGAAGTCTGTAAACAAGAATAAATTTATTTTAGATTCTTTAAAGATTTAATGATATACAAAATGTATACAGTATTATATCCTTATAACATTTTACCTTTCCCCATCAAACATAAAACACCATTTAAACAGCTATTGTGTTCGTGCCTTAGGTCTGTATCTATAAGATACACTACTGAATAAAAAATTTATAGAGCTATATACTGCCCTTTTAATTAAAAATTACAAATTAGTACCTATGTAACAAAACAAAAAATAAAATAAAATAAAATCGCAGCATGAAACTTCAGTTGGACAACAGTTTTTCCTTGCTGAATGCTCAACAATATTTGGGACAGTTAAATTACATTTTATTGGCATGAAGGTGCATTGCAATCTCCCGTACTTTACACAATGCTAATCCAACCCTAGTCTCTCTTAAATAAGTACCACAAATAACATAACATTAAAGATGTTTTCTACACAATTTTAAATACATTTACAAGTGATGTGTACATTCGGTTTCGATATACTGGTTGCACAGGATCTTTGGAAGGCAGAACTTCTGAAGCAGTCACTACGTACGAGGGAAAGCACTTCCAACTTGTGTTCTTACAAGGCAACTTATTTGGACCAGCACATACTAATTCATCTATTAAATATGATTATACCAGTCTATCATGGCTTTGTTACTATTTGACAGTGACTTGATAAAATTGAAATGTGTAAAACAAGAAATTTCATTATGCACAATTAGGGCTCTATTCCACAAAAACAAAACCAACCAAGCCCAGCTTTACAGTCATGAAGCTGAATAAATCCTGATTCAGGAGACTCTCTCTCTTTTGGAACAGATCAAGTTCCTGCCTTCAACTTCAGTCTATTGGCTTCCTTTACACACCTCATTGGCTCTGTCCTCTTCAAAAGGCCAGATTAAAAGACACCTGGTGAGAAAACATTAGTGGAACACTTCTGAAAACACTCAAAGAATACTCTGGCATTACAGAGGTAGGTGCTTTCTCCTGGTTTTGCTCATTGACAGTAAGACAAATGCCAAAAAGACAAATGCTTTGCCTTAAAACATCAACTACCAAAATCCTTTTGGTGGAAGGCCTATTTCCCACCACAGGACTACAAAAAGAAAATCCTCCACTAAACCAAAATAAAATAAAAAATAAAAACTTCCTGCTTAAAAAGCCCCTTTAAAAACACATCTTAAATACTTGTCATTATTCCACCCTTAGAATGATCAGCTGCCAAGCTGCTCTGTAGATGGTTATCATAAGTTGTTGGGTCCTTAGATTATGGACCAGCCAAAATTCCACTTGTAGGACAGTAAAATCCTTGTTTTGACATGTGTTTCTTTCAGTTCTAGCGAAGGAAATTAAGTGACAACTTTGTGACGGTCCATGAAGTTTATGTGAAGCCACTGATTTGGTCACATCATTAGAGCATCAGACGAATAGAACTAGAAGAATCAGATTCTTTGGTGCAGCTTCCAGGCTGAATTGTCAGTTCAGGGGAATCATCCTGAGGAAATATGATCTTGTCAGGTGTGTAATCATTCCTCTTCAGATCTGCACAAACAGAACAAGGTCACAATGATTACTATTTTCTTCAGCTAGGACAATCAATGGGGCATAAAAGTCTAGCAAAGAATTGGGTGTGCAAATGTAAGTACATTTATACTCAATCCACAGTGTTAAAAAAGTATTGTTATCACACATGTAATCAGAAGCCTAAAGCCAAATTACAAAACTGCTGTTTATTACTTATTCTACTTTCACAGCATGATTAACTATTTCATCACATATCATACAACCTCTCATGACATGAGTGTCTCAGAAGAAGAAATACAGCAGCTCTTACCAGGAAGTTTGAGTTTCCTGTAGCAGGAATTACAGTGGTGCTTTGCTCTGAAGTTTTTTATTGCATCCTCTCCCAGATTGGCCGGACCAAACACCATGTCATATGACCTTAGAAATAAAGTGCACATCAACATCAGCTGCATCTCTTTTGGGAAAATTTTCTAATACTTTTCTTCAAGTCTTTCTTTAACCTTACCTTTTTTCCCCAGCTTTTATCACAGAGGGATCTGTCAAATTTTCACCAACACCTTCAGACAGCACACACAAAAAAAAAGTTAAATGTGACACATTTTTTATTACATAAATGCATTAACACTGTAATCCTTAGCTATGACTTCTCAACTTCCCCAAGAATAAAAGCAGAAAAAACCCCAACAAACCCAAACCAAACTATGTGTGATTCTCTACCCTTACAAAATTGCTCCTAAACAAGCACTTAGTACTTCTCAGATTGTTTCCAACTATTTTTACTTCTGCTTGCAATTTCTAGCTTGACTTTTCACCTGTGAGAAAGAAGTTTTCCATATAGTTCTCACATCCAGAATATCTGGCACACGGTTCAGGACAAATACAACTCACCATAATGGCACTACACAAAATAGATTTTTGTTGGCACATTTCATTAGCAAAAGATGTACATATTTATATTCTCTGTGTTGCTTTAAAATTTAATGCCATATTAGAGCAAAGGTGGTGAAGTCTGGAGCACAAGTCATATGAGGAGAGGCTGAGGGAACTGGGGATGTTCAGCCTGGAGAAAAGGAGGTTCAGGAGAGACCTCATCACGCCCTGCAACTGCCTGAAAGGAGGTTAGAGCCAGATGGGGGTCAATCTCAAGCAATAGGACAAGAAGAAAATGGCCTGAAGTTGTACCAGGGAAGATTTAGGCTGGATATGAGATAAAAATTCTTCATTAAAAAGGTTGCCAAGCACTGGAACAGTCTGCCCAAGGAAGTGGTGGAGTCACCATCCCTGGAGGGATTTAAAACATGTTTAGGTGTGGCACCTGTGGACTTGGTTTAGTGATAGGCTTGGCAGTGCTGGGTTAACGGTTGGACTTGACAATCTCTGAGGTCCTTTCCACTCTAAAGATTCTATGATTAAATAAGAAATCCATAGATCTAACCTAACTAGACCAAGAAGCACTAAATAATGCTTGTATTTGTTACAGGCATACAAATTCTTAATAAAATACCATCAGGAGAAAAACCCACAGACATCTACCTTGGCCCCAATCCCTATTTTAAAAGGAAGACATTACCTTGCAGATCTAGTACCAACAATTCTCCTCTTGTATACTCATATGTCCAGTGGCTGAAAGCTAGCATAACCTCCTCCAGCATGTTGGTTGGAATTATTTCATCACCATTATTGTTGTTATATTTTCTGAACTCTCCAGTCATGCACTCTTCAACTGCAAACCACTGGCCAGCAGAGTGGCAATATAACAGGAACACTTCCAGGAACCTAGCAGAAAGCATCATTAATGAATGCATTTCCAAAATAAATGACAAATATATTACTATTAGATTTTTATTTGCCTGACTAATAGTTTAATTAAGTTTAAATTATTATACAAAGCCATTTAGATTACCGCAGTAGGTTAGAATCAATGCAAAATGTACCAGTGGAAGATACTACCAAGGATATTCTGCTCCACAAATTCATAGTGATGTTCCAAGAAGTATATCCATTTGCCTGAATAAATTGGATGTTCCTGTTAACAACCCTGTATGGCATTTTTCCATGTGAAAAGCAGCACCACGATGGCAGTTTAAACACACTCACCTTGGAGAGTATGGGATGGATTTGGGCTTCATCTGATTGAAGGCGAAGGTGAGTTTCTGTGCCGCTCGCTGCTGCTGGATTTCCTGCAAGTCAAACCCGTGTTTCATTAGCTGTGTTACAGGAAAGGGCCAAGCAGCCAGTGGAAACAGTGTCTATTCTCCAAACACACTGTAACACATTGCTTGCTTGTTAAATCATGTCTATATTTTAAAAGCTTAAACTCTTGGATTAAGTAAACCACCCTGAAGCAAAGATTTCAACCCTTTAGCTCATAGGGAACCCCAACCAAACCATTTTTGTCTTTTTGTAGTAAGTATATGCTAGTTTTCACATAGGAAAATGATTCCTGTTTACCAAATAATGCCTATGTTTAATAATTGGCAAAGCTATAACTTACTCTCAAGCACAAGTGTAACACAGTGTCCTCCTTATAAATGCTTGACCAAGTATTCACAACTTCAGGAAGAAAAGACTTGATGATATAAAGATGTCCTGATTTCAGGATATCGTATTCTGACCATGTGCATATTACTTTCAGAGCTCGACGTAAGCCTCCTCCCATCTCCTCTTTACTTAAAAATTCAATTTTAGCACAGAGGCCCAGCTGTGACCAGGAAGACATGCTGTTGTTCAAGATGCTGGGAGAACTTTCTTCGAGGCGATACACAGTGACTGGTTCACCTACATTACAACACGAACAGCAATTACTGCCTTGAATTTTCCAGGTTTAAAATTAAAAGCACTGAAAACCTACAGGTTTTTAGATCACAACATGCTGCAATGTTAAGTCACTACTAACATCCTAAATTAGCAAAAACCCAGGGGGAAGATCCCTCTCCAACTTTTCACACAGCTGCACAACAGCACAGCAGTTTTGTCCTCCTTATTAGAACTATTAATGACACTGTTCAAGCAGCATTAAGAACACTGAATAAATGTTTGTTTAGGAGTCAAGACCACTTAAGGGAACCCTTCCAGAATAGCTTATTATAAAAACTGTTAGTACAATAAAATCATCACTGTATCACCATTTCTGGGGACAACTATAATTAAACCTAGATTTCATAATCAAGTGAGCTGCCCTAGAAAAGGTGTCATACTCATATATTTTTGAGTGTTCTAAGGCAGAGACCAGACTGGTTTTAGTTCATTAAGACTTTAGTTTCACACTTGCTTTGATCAAGTGTGAACTTCATATCAATCCATACTAGAATGATCAAGCCAAACTGGAATCTATATAGAGTTTATTTTTATTTTCTTCCCCCAAAGACCACAGTGAACCAGCAACAAGAAGTACAGTTCTTACCTCTTGGAGGCACAGGAGTGAATGGAATGCTCTGTGATAATCTCATCAAGTTATTTCTTTCTACAGCTAGAGGAAAATGATAACATTTGTTGAAGTTTAAGGATCTAATGAGGATCAACAAAAATACGAACATAGGTCATAAGAGGGACTGACCTGAGTAGTAGTAATTGATATCCATGATAGGCTTGAAAGGAGAAGCAATGCCTGAAAAGAGATTAAGGGGAAAGAAAAAGTGCTACTGCTTGCTACCTGCATTGTGTACTAAAATACCACATGCAAAGAACACTTGCCAAGTAACTAGAGCTTGAACAATATTCGCTGTGTGGAAGGTGAAGTATTACCCTTAGCTCTTCAGTTCCTTGTGGGGGGTAGGAATTAAAAATTGTAGTGTTTAGTGATAGGCTGTTTACTTAAAAAAACCCCAAAAACTAACTATTATGCATTCATTAAATTCCAAATTACTACTAGGTAAATATATTCTCATACAAGACCCAAACAGTTGCTTACATGGAAAGCTCTCACCTCCTTTCTAGCAGAATGAAAACTTACCATTCAATGCATCTTCTTCTGATGTCCTGTGAAATACCACAAAACCAACAGTTACTGCTTCTTGAAATCCTACTTTGTATTCCCTGACACATAGTCCTAGGTCACCTTGTTAACCTCACACTACTGCTTTGATCCTATTTTTCAAGGGCAGTATAGGTTTCTTAATTACAAAACAGTAATGGAAAGCTGTTAAGTAATCTCATGTTTTCAGAGCTACACTTTAAATACCACCAAGTCATGCACATTATGTAAAGTTTGCATCACAAGAGCTTGTTCCCACAGAGGTGCTTTAATTAAAACTTGTTCACAACAGCTTACCCTTCTGTTATCAGATTAATAAGGTAATGGCTTTAACAGTTAACTCAGGGATAATTGTTAACAAGAGCAATGACTGCACAATTTCAGAGGTGGTTACAGTTTGAAAGGTTGGGTAAAGACCTTTACCAGGAAGCTAGCTCCTCACTAAGTGTCAGCACACTCATTTTCATTTCGGGACATGTTTTGCCCTCTGACATGTGATGCCATTAATCTAAATAGAACCTGTCAAAGCATGACAAGAAGCTCAACATGACCCGTCTGTGTGTGCCCAGATCCTGGGCTGTATGCCAAACAGTGTGACCTGCAGCTTCAGGGAAATGTTTCTTCCCCTCTACTCTGTTCTTGTGAGACCCCACCTGCAGTACTCTGTCCAGCTCTGGGACCCCTAGCATAAGGGGGACATGGACCTGTCAAAGCAAGTCCAGAAGAGGCTACAAAGACACTTACAGGGCTGGAGCACGTCTGCTATGGAGACAGGCTAAAGAGTTGGAGTTTTCAACCTGGAGAAGTAGCAGCTCCAGGAAGACCTTAGAGCAGCCTAAAGGGGCTACAAGAGAACTGCAGAGGCACTTTTGACAAGGGCATGTAGTGATAGAACAAGGGCAATGGCTTTAAACTGAAAGAGGGCAGGTTTGGATTAGGTCAGGAAGAAATTCTTAACTATGAACATGGTGAGGCACTGGCACAGGTTGCCTGGAGAAGTTATGGAACTCCCATCCCTGGAAGAGTTCAAGCCCAGGTTGGATGGGGCTTTGAGCAATCTGGTCTAGTGAAAGGTGTCCCTGCCCACAGCATAGAGGTTGGAAGTAGATGATCTGTAAGGTCCCTTCCAACCCAAACCATGACTCCAGCTAAGACATTAAGGTATTAGAAGAAAAGCCTTAAACCTTGGGGTTTTTTTTTCATTAAATGCAACCAAATACCACTATAGCCAAAGACAACCAGAAAACAAAAAAAAATCAAATACAGAGTGATAAAATTGCTTCGTTAGTAGAAAGCTTACTTACATTTGAGTGCTATTTGAAGGTCTACCTTGTAACCAATCCTTCAAAACAAAGAAGAGGAAAACAAAGAGGGCTTCAGTTTTGTCAGGAAAACATAGCATATTTAGTTGGGGGTGAGGTGCTAATGTGTTTTAACATCATGCAGTATGGCCCAGTTATTGGAAATACTTCACCAGATTGTACTGAACTGCACTTGACTGGAAAGGCTCAAACACAGCTGAGAAATCAGAACTACAATTAAAAGAATAGAAAAGGCTATATTTTCACTACAGCTTTATGGACTATATAAATAATTCTTTTCTTTAAAAGTTGTGGGGTTTTTCTATGAACAGAAAACAGCAAGGTTTTCATGATGAGAACATGCACAGCTTCCTCCCTTAGCTGCCTCCTAGGACAAGTGAGTCCACAAATCAGTATTGTATTTGACACTATCTGTTTGTCCTCCTCTATCTGTCCAGTGTCTAATTCTGCTCAACAATGTCATGAGGTCACTACAAACCGTCAGTAAAGCTGCTTTAGAGTCTGCTTGCTGAGTGTCTTCACTCGATGCTCTTCTACTCTTGTCGTACACTACAAATGAAAGAGATTCGTAACTGGACATGTCATTGTAATCCCTATTTCCTACAGAGCGAGCTACTAGACAGCTTAATATGGCTCTCATAAAACAAAGCCTGATCCACAACTATCTGTTCTTTAAGAGTTTCCAGCACAGTCCTGATGATCAGTTTGCTTTTTAAGACTCTTGTTGTCTATGGCAAATATGAGGTCACAGAACTGAGCTGCCATGACTACAAGAAGCACAATGAGCCAGAGGAGTAGATTCAAGTAGCACCAAGCATGAAAATATTTCAAAATACTTTTTGTGCTTCCTTTGTATCTTCTTAGAATATCCATTAACAACACAATTTAGAGACAAAATTGGGTCACCTGAACAGATGACAGACTTACGTTGCTCTGAATGGAATGCCAGAGGGTCAGTAAACCCACCACAAGAACTGGATTGTCTTAGACCACATTCAGCTTGAAGACCCTAAGAAAACCAAAACCAAAACAAACAAACAAAAGGTATTTACCATTTACATCAGTATTGCTTTCAGCTACTACTCTGGGCACACAATCTGCCCAGATTTCTTCTTGAGGACTACCTAGGATTCCTTTTTTTTTTTTTAAATGTACCTCAGATACCACACAGCACATAAATGTACAAGTTGAGTACATAATTCAGTTAATATGCTCTGCACCATAACCACCAGCTCTAACACTTTCAGCACACATGAAGACTACAGACCCACACTGAAAATGTTCTTAGCAAGAGAACATTACAATAGGATACAACCACAGCATCTCTACAAGCACCAAGCTCAGCTATTCTCTCACGTGCTTTTGTTGGCTGTCAATTCTCATTTAAGGACGTGACTCAGCAGACACTAAAGTTCAGTTTGCATCCACTTAAAATAGGAACAAAATGCAGAGAAGTCTTGCCACATCAAAAACCCTACAGTTTATGAATGGAATTTCCTCATGGACACATTCCTCAGCAATAATTACATACTTCTTTAATATATACAGCTTTTGACAACAAAATATTTCTTTTGCAAAAAAGAGGAAAAGGCAGTTCCATCACAAACCAAGACTATATGTAGACTGGTATAGGACTGGAACGTTGCTCACTACTAGCCTATTAATTCCAATTGTTACCTCAATAAAATATAAAAATTCACTATGCCCTGCTTGTGATTCCAAGATTTCTAAGTCAGGAAATTGTCACCATCCCTTTTCACCCTTCCCTCTTAAGGAACACACCCCACACACCTAAGCACATACACAGAGGCCTCTGTGTATGTATGTGTGTCCAAAATGTGTGCGTATCTGCATACACACACACACACACACGTATGTGTAAAGACTAGTTCTTTACATCCCTAAACAAACACTTCACTGAATGCAACACAGAGAATGCACCTGCTGAAAGTGTCTCCTGAGGACCCGTTTTTAGGTCTACATGCGTTTCAGTGTTCGGCACACATCTTCAGCATCTTACAATCAATGACTGTAGTGCCTACATGAAAAGTAAGAATCAAACCAGTCCCACCAGTTAAGATGGGACAGCTCTATTACTATGCATCTAAGAACAGTGGTAGTGTCTGGAAATGCTACTGGAGTTTGCATCCTGATAGAACCAAACACTACAACTATCTAGACCTATGTCACAAGGAGACATCCAGTTTACAGATAACGATATAAGAAAACAGAGTTACATGTCTTTACTGCATAGAATACATTCAGTATCTGTTGAAAATCATGTCCCTAATAAATGGAAACCTTCTTTACTTACTTGAAGTCTGCTCGTCTCTATGCCCTCCAATATAGCTTTTTTGAAGTCTTCCTGTTGCTCCTATAAAAAAACCAAAGCACATCATAAACACTAACACCAAAAAAAAACCAAACTACCAAAACTATGAACTTTCGATCACACACTGGAATATCAGAAGGTTCAGAAGGAGCAACTCAGCAGAACAGAAACATTGCAAATGGTCATACTGCAATTCTCAAGGCAGCTTAGCTTCTCCCCTGAGTGCAGGTGAACTGCAAATGTTAACTTGTATTTACCAACCTATCAGCTACATGGAGAAACCAGCTTTTATATATA